CAAGTCAAAAACCAAAATGTCAGAATCAAGGTTAAATCCAAGAATAAGAATGTAATTTCATTATAAACAAAGACAAGAAACAATTCAATAAAATTTTTGTTTATTCATAATTTGGCCAGGAAATTGGTCAAATACAATTCCAGACTTTCCCAGAACTATGAAGGAAACGTCTGACTAGCTTAGTGTGGTGCTTGGCAGAACTGTGCACATGAGGGCTTCACCTGCCAAAGCAAAACCACAACTTCTGCTCAAATTAGCAAACCTTATTCTCTGTTAGCTTGTACACGATTGGCAGAATGGTTAAGTGTTGCACGTTTGGGAAATCAACCATGTTGAGAAAACCACAAAAAAACAAAACAATTAATTCCAGCAAATGTGGTTGGAAAGTGGTTGGGCATGACTAAAAGAGACTGAAACTAAATATCTGCATTGGGCTGTCTTCCAACCACGGCCTGGCTGTCGACCCCCTACACAGAAACCCCACAAGAAAGCAGCGCTTGCCTTACCCTCTGCGTGTGGCCTGTTTAGGTTTCTATGCGATACTTGTGGGATAAATTACTGTTGCAGCAAAGTGGGACAGAATTTTGTGCATTGCATCCACAGACACTGGAAAAACCTACTGAGCAATATTCACTTTGGTCAATATCTCCTGGATCTGAATAGGGATATAATATAAAGTGGACCTAAACAAAACAATGCCACCTAAACATTGTTCTTATCCCTAACAGACCATATACTATCTGCTGCACACAAGATCTGGTGACCACAATTTCCGGTGTGGGCATAATTTTTTTTTTTTTTTTTTTTTACTAAAGTCAATAAAAATTGACTTAATGAGAGGAAAATATACATTTTTAAGTGGTTTAAAAATGCTTGTCCTCACACTCTAATACCTCTTGAGACTTAACTTTAGGGTACACAAATGTTAGGTGACAGATAGCTGATAGAGTACTACCAAAGAAAGGAACATAGAATAGGATTTTACGGTTTGCTAACGAAGAGTTGGTGTGTACACTTCAGCAGCAAGGAACCGTTTTAATTTTTATAAAAAAATTTTAACTGAACAGATCTGCTTAGTCTGTTTTTCCAGGTTCCTTTTACAGGATGCATGTTATACATTTTTGAAGTTTCATCTTTTAATATAGAACAGAAATTTTATATGAACAGTCGAACAGCATGAAAGAAATTACAAAGTTCTTGCAAAAATATCAAAGTAACCATTCCGTACTGCACCAGTCCAAACTCTGCTCTTACCTCACTGACCCCATTTCTCACATGGACCTGAGACGTATAGGCCACTTGTCCCAGGCTCTTCATGCTGTCTCCCTCCCAGCCCCGCACTGGTTCTGACAGGATCTGCAGCTCCAGGTTCTTGCGCTTCCTCAGGTCTTGACACTGGGACTAAACACACAAACAACTGCATTAAAAAAGTGATGGTATTCTTAAAAGGATACGTATTTTCTAAGAATTTTCTATTGAGTCACTAAAGGTTTCTTGAGAAATTAGCAGCAATGATTTGACCTTGAATTTTACTTCGAACAATAAAACTGGGATGTTTTTTTTCTTTTTATTAATTTGCTAAAATGTGTACGCTGTATGAAGAAGCTCACTTTTTCAGGTACTACACAGGGACTCTCCCTCATCAGACAGAAAAAATGACAATGCAACATCTTTGACTTTCCATCAATTCTGTGAACGCTGCTCTACATAGATCTTCTTGAGCGCCTGCCCACCCAACCGCACATTCAAGACACAAAAGAAAAATCTAACTTGCAAATGAAACAAGCTAGAGTTGTCTGATGCTGTTTTTTTTTCTGTTTTGGGTCCAGTTTCCTGTGAAGCTCTGTTGAAAAGACGAGTGAGTCACTTCGGTTCTTACAAGGAACTCAGAGCCACACCGGGGAAATGGTGCCTCAAACTGTTGTTAACTGAGGTTCAATGTGGTCGTTCGTTTCTAATCCAGCTCTTTCATGAAGGCGTTTCATTTCACACCTACAGTAGGAACAACGTAATCACTCAACACAAGGTAGAAAAGAGAGGGAACAGATACTTTCATTAAAATCTTGCCCTCTGGACTACATTGCAATGCGTTGCTGTCACTTGTCTCACAATGTGACAAAAAAGAAGGAGGAGGATGAGAGGAAGTTATGCGTTTTATACGATTATTATTATTGAGATTATACAAAACACATTGATGTCTGGACCAGAATTTATTCAAACATTTCACGTCGTGACATATTTAGGAACAAAACTCTTCCTAAATATCAATGAAATGAACTAAGAGCATAACATCGAAAGAGGATAAATATTGTGATTAATGAAACCCACCATGACAGAATGAGATACTGCCTGAGGTTTGAGGTGGATATATGAAAGTGAGATCTGCCAATAAATGAAAGGTTAAGTAATGACTTACCACAAGACTCTTAAAAGCAGCTGTTGCCTTTATGATGTCCGCATAGTCTGGATGAGCTTCCTAGGATGTAAATAAACAAACATCTGTATAAACATAAGGCATCATCCAGCAAGCATTTCTTTGAAAGGAAATCCAGGAAAAGTCCAACCTATAAACTGGAACTATTTACTTTGGCCTTATGAGAATTAAATTGAGATTTTAACAACTTACAAATAAAACTTAATGTGGAAAAGTCTAAACTCACTGTTGTGTAGCACAATGGAGGATCTGTGACAAAGGCCTATTTCTCTTCTATGTTTCCATGTTTAGCCCTAATGAAAATGGTTTTACTTCAAATAATGATAGGAGTTAGAAATCAGGTCAATCCTGGCAGCTTTTAAAAGAACATCTAACCAATGCATAGCGTGACTCAAGATTTGAGTTATATTTTTGGTTTTTTTTCAGTCACAAATACACTGGACATATAATTTGGATATACATTCTTCTGTACCTCCACATGTCTCTCCAGCTCCTGCAGCAGTGTTGGGTATTTGTCGAGCCTTATGAAGGGCTTACTGAGGCTGGTGGTCAGGGTCAGGATGCCTGAGGTGCTTGCTCCCTGGCTCTCAATGAACTTACCCAGTTCATCACTATTGAACACACAAGAACACCATTTTATTGTTTATGTACAACTACAAAGTAGAGATAAATAACAAATAAATTCAAATGAACTGTTTGGTTTACATTTAATTGATGAATCCTTTAGAAATCACAGATTGTATTTATTTTTACACTGGTAAAGTAATTTTAATAGAAAATGCATACATAAATTGTTCTTTTGCATTACACCTAATTTCTAAGTATAGACAATTATTACTTATTAGTCAGTATTAGATATATATTGATGAGTATTTTTGCAGAAAACACCCTACTTAATCCAGAAAAACAATACCCAGCAACAGTTTGAATATTTGATCATAACAACATTTGTCTCACTAAAATACTGCATTCAACAAGAAATACAATCCAAACTGTTGAAATGATGAAACAGTTCAGCAAAATGTTGCAACATTCTTTCCCTCTCAAATTAAAATGAGCTCCCCCTGTAAATGAGACTTCCAAATAATACCTATACTTCATTGTTATGACATTATACAAGTGAAAAAAATAGAATCTCACAACGAACAATCATGATGCAAATTAGGACATGGATTTGTTTCATGGGGCTTATGTGTAATTCCCTGCAACCTTCCCTATGTGTTTCAAGTGGAACAACATCAATGAGTTTCCATGATCCAAAGAAGAGAGTCACACATAATCCTGTGTTCAGTTGGTTACTCATTGGTTCAACAATTTGAATCAATGAGTAAAACAGAACATGAAGGCATTTGCAGAGGAAAAGCAAATGTGCTTACTGTGAAAAAACCGGTCTACCTGGTTTTCAATATAACCACAACTCTATATATCCTGTCAACAGTCAACTTCCTGTGTAACTCAACATTTGTAAGCAAGTGTTTGTGTGTGTGTGAGCACAAAGCAGAACTTCATATGACACATCCATGTTAAATATTTCATCAAGGCTGGACCATAGCATATTTCTTTTATCATGTTGCCTTTATGAAGCGTTTACTGACACACACACACACACACTAAATCTAAAAACAACATTTTACCATGAGGGGACAAGAAAGAGACGTTTATACAGAAAGCTGTTCTGTAATGTCTCAGAGGAAGTTAAGAGACATTTGAATGTAAAGATGTAAAGACTGACACCTTCTGGATAGAAGCAGGACTACTGCAAAACAAAAGAAAGTGAAATTCCCAAAATTTGAAAAACCTAATCAAAATATTTTTTTAAACATACATGAAATTTAAATGAATATATATAAAGATATGTAGTTATTGTATCAACCTTACAGACCAGTGAAGTCTTCTGGTTCTTGCCTGCTTTACATCCCCAGAACCAAACTTCAAACTTCTGGAACAAACTTCCAGAAAACTGCTTTAAATCAAGACTGTAAATCCACCTGTTTCTTTTGAGCCACAATAAATGGAATATTGACCAACATATTTGATGTATATTAATGATTTTTGATAAGGGCACTCATCAAAATTTAATGTCTCTTATTGGTTTCTCAACTATTGACAGTATGGTGACTTTTAATGACTTTATTTTTGTGTTTTTATGACATAAAGCACTTTGAACTTGTGGCACACAAATAAACTTGATTGATACACATATAAGACACACAAAGATCAGTTAAAAGTTCTCATCCTAACTAATAACTCAAGACTAAAAACCCACCGGCTGAGAATTGTTTCTGAACCATAACAAATTAAATATTGACCAACCTACTTGATTTTGGCTATGGCACTCATCAAATGATTGTTCAATTATTGTATGGCTTTTTTTAATAACTTTGTAATTGTGTGCTTCTCATAGTAAGATATGTAAAAAAAAATTGAAACACTTAATGATTAAGTTTCAGATAAACTATTGAAAAGCTTTGATATAAAACAGTCAAATATGTTCTGATTGTTTCAACTGAAAATTATGGCGTTTCATTTCACCGGGAAGGAATTTTCGTCAAACTGGAAAAAAAAAAAAACAAAAAACAAAAACGTTTCTTTAGACCGGAAGTGGTACTTTTTGAACGGAGCTAGTTCCGGTTAGCTTCACGCGTACGCAGAGGAGTCGGATATAAACTGGCCGCTTGTGTTTCCGGTGAAGGACACTTGGGGAAAAAAAAGAAAAGAAAAAAAGAAGCCTCAGCTCCTAAAACTGTTGGTGAAAGACAGATAAAACAACAGCAACAGCCTGTCAACGGTCGAACCGTTGTCCAACCGTCAAGCCTTTAGAGAACGTAAACCGGGGAGGACATTTCTGTGAAGCTAACATGGCTGGCAAATGGATGGAAAAGATATGGAATTCAGAGACGGGAGAGTTTTGTGGGCGAACAGGGAACAGTTGGCTTAAAATATCCATGTTCTACGTGTTTTTCTACGCGTTCCTGATCGGGGTTTTCAGCTGCACCATTATCGTCTTGCTGAAGACTTTACCAATCAACAGACCCAAACACCAGGACCGAATTCTTCCCGCAGGTCTGTCATTCGAACCCTATGCCCACAACTTTGACATCGTTTTCAGCCAGAAAAACCCGATTTCATATGAGAAGTACGTCAAGAGCTTGAAGGCGTTTATTGAGCGATATCAGGATGACAAACAGACTGACGACTTGAAATATGAGGATTGTGGATCCACCCCGACGACATACACCGAACGCGGCGAAGTCGAAGGTACAACAAAACAGAAAAAAAGTTGCCGCTTCAGCAGAAAGGTGCTTCAAGAATGTTCCGGGGAAACCGACGACACCTTTGGCTTTAAGGAGGGAAAGCCGTGCCTCCTACTCAAGATCAACAGAGTCATCGATTACAGACCAAAACCTCCTACCTCGAGCGTTAAGCTTCCAGATGAGCTGTCAGGCAAACCCTTGGACAACGTCGTCCCCGTTCACTGCACGAACAGGTGGAAGCGAGATGACGGCTTGGTCGGAGAGGTCAAGTACTTTGGCTTTGGGGGCATCGGCGGTTTTCCTATGCAGTACTACCCCTACTACGGTAAAAGGCTGCAGTCCAATTACTTGCAGCCTCTGGTGGGCGTCAAGTTCGCCAACCTCACCAGGAACAAGGAGATTCGCTTGCAGTGCAGAATGTACGGGAGCGGCTACAATATGGACACCCGTGATGGATTATTTTACGTTCACATCACTGTGAACGACTGACCCCAGAAACGACGATGGCAAAATAAAAAATAAAAAAAAATAACGTAGAAAGATATTCAAGAGTTCAGATGCCGTCTTTGAGTTGATCTCTCTTTTCTGTCCAGAGTTGAAATAGAATGTAAAATACTCAATAGCAAATATTCTTTCTTCTGTCAATGGGCGATTGTATCGGGGAGGCGGATTAGGGGGACAAATGGGATGTTTATTGATTATTTTAAAACTGCAGTTTTGCTACTGATGTATAGCGAGTTGTCTTTGTTTCATCCTTACTGGTTTCTATATATTTTCAAAGATCCAGTTTGTAGGCCAGCCATGTTATAATATTCTGTTTCATATCTGCTTTCAGAGTCCAAGGTGTCCCTGCAGGTGTTTATGAGTTGATAGTGTTTGTCTTTGTGTTCAGACTAAATTGAAATACTATCTTGGTACTCTAAGGTGTTAAGTTGACTGAGCTATATGTTGTTTTTATGCATCTTCTTATTCAAGTTCGCTGCAGAAGAATATTTTGTTCATCTCCATAATTAAATAGGTTTTGGAGGACATTTCTGTTCAGTACAATGTTTACTTGTCTTATTGATTGTAGCACTTAGATTTTTATCATTGTAAAGTGCATTACAAATAAAGATTATTGTTGATACTATTAACATCTACTTATTCTTAATTCACATTGTAAAGCTTAAGATCAGGCTAAGAAGACTGAAAATCTGTTTTACTGGACATATCACGTTCCTCGATGCAACTTACTTTATCAATTTTTATAATGGAAACATTTTATATTTATGCAATTGTACCTTTTTTGAATATAATGCTAAAGTCTCTAATATTAAAGTTAGAGAAAATCAGAGGCAATGTAGTATCCCATGTGTACATGGTGAATTAAGAGAAGTAGTCGCACTTGAAGATGGGGAGGGACAAATTCTCCAAAATCCTCAGAGGTAACAACAAACCTTTAGATTATGCTAGAAGAGTCACCTGGACTATGATCAGAAAAAATGTTTAATAATTTTACTGTACGGTTTTGGAGAAATACAATGTACCTCATAATACAGATGAATCATACAGTCTCATTTCCAGGAATGTGTTTCTCATATTTTTTGAAGAGATGACGAGAAACTCTTTTTCGATTATTTTGATAGATGGCCTATTCCAAAATAATGCTGATTGCAATGTAATAAAAAAGAAAAAAAAATCAATTATTTGAATTCCTTTCTTAGACCAGAACCCAGTTCCTTCATTATTATTATTATTATTATTATTATTATTGTCACAGTTCTGATTACAGACACTCAGTGAGTGCTGGTCAAATTGTTCTGACAATATGAAAAAAAATGTGAAGGTGTCTCGTTATGTATCTAAAATTCTCATTTCACTCATACAAAATCAAACAAACAAAAAAAACACTTAATAAAAAGCAATAATATATAAGTTTTTGATTTACTTTTGTAGGGAACGTCTACAGATTCAATATGGATATAGTATATGGAGGTGGAAGTAATAGGTCTGTAATAAGTTCACACTCCTGGCAGTTATGCTCCTCATTTTTCCTGCATTAGTTTTTTAAAATTTTCACCTGCAAGGTCGCCCACTACTCTATTACCGTAATGCACCAGGTATCCGTGAAGCTATCTTTAAAAGAAGCGCACTTGACTGCAGACTGACGCTGCCAGTGGTATGCTAAGCTAGTAGATAGAAAACTTTGTTGATCGTCTCTTTTGAAACCAAATATTGGTCAGTAATACCTCTGCTTCTGTAAGGAGTTCAGCGGGTAGCTGAGCAGACACCGATATTTTGATTGGGAAAATATGGGTCAGAGATTGCTGCTACAAAATACTTATGAAGATGAACTGAAATAAATACGGTTTTGACTTATAACTGGTTTAAAAACTTGTAGGTTTGTAAACAAAGCTTTAATTTCCAAAAGCTAATGAGCTGGTAAGAAATAATGTAACAAGGTGTTTATTATTATTGCTGAAATATACAGCAAGTCATTTACTGGAGCAGAATTTTATTGCAGTTTTGTGGGGATGGCAGAATGTATTGGATAAAATTAGGTTTATTGCGCGTATATTTTCTAAGTAGATCAAAACAAAACTCCCTCTCCTCAGGCAGAGCTAAAACTTGTGGAAGAAATAATTGTTACAAACACATTTCACATTCTTAAAAAAGCAGTATGCATGAATAATTTAAATACAAAAAAAATATCTGACTTAACTTACAGCATGATATTGAAAATCTGGAAATATTTAACCTTTCATATGATACGACAGTGACCTCGATACAGAAGTTCTGCTTTAATTGTAAATTTTATTATGAAATGATAAAGGACTAACATGACTTACTTCTTTCCTTAGACAACTTATGAAATTGAAAGAACAAATGAAAACCAGAGACACCTAGTTAAATACCAATCCTTTTTTAACAGTACTAACTGTGCTATTTTTGTGTGCAGGGACTGACCTGTGATCAGTAAGGATGCAGACGGCTGATGGATGACTCGAACAGTAATTCAGGTACAGACTCTTGATCTGACTCATGAGATTTAAATAGCATCCTGCCACTCTCTGTTGCCCCTCTGCAACTCTGGAAAATCAGAGAAAGAGTTTAAAATATAAAGAGGAAGAAACACAGGACCGGTTGAATTAGTAAATGTGGAAAGCCATAAAACATTTAAAATAACTTTCCTCTTGTCATTATTTATGACGTCCGTTTCAAAGTTTAACATTAAACTGTTTTTTTAAATGTTAATTTCATATTTAAATACTAACATTTAACACAAAAATAAAAATGAAATATTCTGTGTTAAAAATACACATTTATCATGGAATAAAACAACTTTAAGAGCTTATTTTGGCACCAGTTATTTCAGCTGTGAATAAATGCTCCAAGAGCATTTCATATAAACTTAGATGTTCATGTAAACAAGTTTAACATTACAGTAACTGTGATATGACACATTCATACACTTTGCAAGGTGGCACTTGTACAAAGACGCACAACCAGAGGCGTCTAGAGGAAAGGAAGTGATTGCAAAAATGTACATGTGGGAAGCTTTGCAGAACTTTGCAGTGCTAAATGTACATAAAAAGAAATGATCACATGCATTTGTAGTCTTCTGGTCTACTAAACTCCACAAACACAGTTTGAAGAGATAAATCAGTGATAAGACTTACTTGGTGCAGTCCTCCAAAGCTAAACACAGTCCCTGTTGGAAGGACAGGATCTCCTCCAGGTTCCCACACAAGGTGGCGCTGTCTCCACTACTTAACCTGAACATGCAGGCGTGAGAATAAACAGGAACAGTCAGCCTTTTCTAAAATATGACTTATTAAAGAAAGTTAAATATTAGAAAACAAAATGAAAACTAATCCAGACTGTTCTAAACTATGGTAACTTTTGCATCAAACGCCATCATTGTAGTAACGTTTAAATCACTTCTAAAGTTTTATATTTTAGAACATGCTGAAAAAAAATGACTTGTTTCTCTCTGGGAATATTAGATTGATTCAACCTCAGAGGAATAACAACGTGTGACATATCATACCATGTTTTTTTGTTTTTTACTGAACTAAAATGGAGAAGTGGTGTGTGAAAAAATGGCATGCAATGATTCAGCTTATCACATCACCTTTAAGAGCAACAACTTCAGTTTTTCTGTAATCTCTCACATTTTTATGGACAAGCTTTGCTCACTTTTTTACATATTTGTGAGCAGTAGATTATTTTTTACACAAATATATTTAGGTCACACCGTAGTATTTTAACCAGATTGATATTGAAGTTCTTTTTAGAGTCTTGTTTTTTTTCCTGACATGAGATTGTCTTGTGCTTCAGGTTATTGTCCTGGTCCAAGGCCCAGTTTCTCCACGGCCTTTCACCTTTGTGCCTGACAGATAGTAAAATATGCTTAATTTGGATACATCTAGTTTGTTGCTGCAAGATATTAGGAAAGCAGTACCATACAATATTTTTGGTGAATACTGAACCAATGAAATCAGTTGCAAAGAAATAAAGTATTCCTCACTGAAATGTTTTTTTGTTTATGACAAAGTCTTCACTGATATCAAATGTAACTTTTTTTGCTAAACTGCTGGTTTGCTAAATTACCAGAATGGAGCATTGTTGCTATTATTATTTTAAAGAAAAGAGGCTGTTTACCAACTCTTGCTTTTGTCTTTAATGGTCTAGTCACAAACTGGGGTCTTTGGGTTTGTTCCAGCCCCTCTTAGCTTTGCAAGATTGAGAGCCAACGGAGAATGTTTCCATTTGTAAATAATTTTCTCACTAAGGGATGATGAATTTTAGTTGACAAAGATTGCTTTATACCCCTTAGATTGATGGGCAACAAATTATTTTATTGCTCCTCCAAAGTCATAGCTGAGGTCTTTGTTTCATGGCAATATATTAAAACACACCTCAAAACTCAGACCAAAAACTGGCACAACTTCTGCTTTCACAGAGGAGCCAACTCATGCTAAATAAATTTATACTCTAAATTTCCTCAAAACCAACATCTTAGTTAAATAACAGAAAGAAACAGAAATGGCATGACCTGCTATTTATCTAAAGTAGGACTTCACTCATTTTTATACTTAAAAACTGAAAGTGAAAGACAGTGTACAAACCTTGACCATGACTTTATTTGTGAGAAATACCAATATAAGTTGTTTTTTTTTCAATTACCCAAAAGGATAGGTCAAAATTCAGACTTCTAGTCTACGAGCCAGTATGACCCGGATCATTGTTTTGTTCTTACTTGTCGCTAGCTTGCAGGGGTCGGAGGTAACAAGTGAGCACAGTTTGCAACTCTTTAACAAACTCCCGCTCATGCTCCAAGATGTCCTGAACCACCTGTGAAAAACAAAACAAGAGAGAATATTTCAAATAATCTGATCTTATAAAAACCTTCCATGTTCTCAAAATAACTTAAAATAATGGCCAACTTGTGGCAACTATGAATTCTTTATCCATTTATGTGCAACTTATTTTGTTAGAATGTTAATTTATTTAATTATTTTTTTCTGAAAAAACCCCCAACTAAAAATCAAAGGTTAATCCTTTTTTACTCATTAAACAAAAACTAAATTTAGGAAACGTGTTGGTAGCACCTGCAGTAGGTCCAGGCCCAAACCATGACACTTTTATCACAATGGTCTTTTTCTAAAAGGTTGCATTTCCTTTGTTCACGAGTCCTAATAATTGAATTACAGCCTCATATGTCCAAAAACATATTTTCCAGAATCCCAATTCTTTGTCTACACTTGCTTGGGCAAACTTGAGTCAGGCCATTATGTTTTGATCAAATAGCAAATGTTTCCTCCTTGCACAGCTCTCATTGAACTTTAATCTGTACAGTTTGCTGTCGGTCCCATAATGAAATTTTAGGATTTCCAGATGTTTCTTTTAGCGACTTGCTATCTGCTGTCAAGGTAAACTTGCTTGGATGACCCAATTTGGGCAAGTTTACAGTTATTTTAATTGTTTTTCACTCATAGATTAGTTTTTGTACAGCATAACAACTGATTTAAAATTCTTCTGAGACCTCTTTAAGTTCTTTAACAGTGAGATAAGCTGCTATTTGTAGGTTTTGATTTCACCATGATGTTTATTCTTCTTTCAACAGTAAGCAGGACACAAAATTAA